AAGTAGTAAGTGCAAAATTTTCAAGAAAGGAAACACAAGCCAAGCTAGATGATGCTAATCATAGAGAAAAAAAAACTCCATAAAATGTATGAATGCTTCCAGGGCATGCCTGCACAGGCGACCTCTCTGACATGCACCAGACGCTATAAATCTGAATAAACCTTGGCATCTTTTCCCCAGTTACTTGGCTCAAGAACAAAAATCAAAGGAAGAAAGTGAAGGCTGCAAATTTGTTTCGATCAGATTAGCAAGAAAGCGACATAGTCAACATAATACAATAGAACTTTAGTGTCCTAAATTACCTAAAATTTTCAATATGTAAATGACCTATGCAACGAAAGGCCATATGAATGAAACTGTATTGCCTTCTTCCTATCACAGTTTTATGCTGTTTCACGGACAGCTAGAAAGTGGCACCTTCAAGTGTTTGTGTATACGCAATGTTCTGTGGGCATTCTGGATAATTGCAAATATGAAGCCAGCACACCCACCTTATTGTGTTTCAGCACTGCAATTTTTTTATCCTTGGAAATTAGCATTTTCGTAACCATTACAAAAAAGTAACAACAAATGAAATGCATTAGTAGTCACTATACACCTTGAGATTTCCTATGTCCTCCTTCATGCATATTTGCCATGAGTGAAATAATGCCCTCCACTTTTAAGCGTGTCCAGGCCACCACAGATGGCTCAGACAGATTGACATGTGACAATATATTACTGCCATTATATGTGTACATTTATTATATTCACTAGTGCATACAGATCATCAACGTTCATCGACCATGCTTGTGGCCTTTGCCACGTCTCATGTGCTCAACTAAAGGTCAGCCGAGCTGCTATGTCAAGCGTAGCGAATGTAGTTCCTCAGTCACTAATCTCTATGCCACTGAAAAAAGAAAAGGTTACAAAGAAACTGATTAACAAATTATTGAAGATGAAGTTACAACTGACATTTCTCGCCACCTTTTCTTTCTCAAAAAACAACTTAGCTTTCAGGGCAGCACATAAGTTTAGTTTTATAGTACTCGAGGAGGCTGACTAATTGTTCGCATGAGATGTCTAGCTTGTCTTGAAAGGGTTGTGTGGCTGTTTGCATGAGAGTCCCTTCGTGTCATGCAGCATTTGAAAAGTCATAATAAGACCTGAGACAGTAACAGTAAGAAAACCTGGGCTGGCTAATGCAAGTATTTAGACATAAGCAGTGCTAAATAACCAATGCAATCTTAGGAGTTCAGTGCAGTGCTGGTTGGCAAAACAGCAGCTAATGGTGTGTAATGTATGAATTATCCTGTACAGAGCTCTAAAGCCCAACTATTTCATAGGTTCATCTTGATTATAAGCTACAAGTGTACATGAAAGCTGTGGCAATAGTCTTGTATCATAAGTACTGTTCCCATGACATTACGCAGCAAAGGCAGTTAGTCAAAGTATGGCAATTTGGCATGTGTGTTTCATGGTACCATACACAATTGTGGCTCATTCGCTTTCATTCAATTTTTTTCATAAGAACAAAAACCTTTAATCTCGATGAGGCCCAATGAATAGATTGCAGGCATAATAAAAACCACGACATGGCGGTGAGGTTACAGTCTCGACGCTCTAACACTTTGAGTTGTAGCAATGCTTCGCCTGAATGCCCCAGTATACAGCAAACAAAATCCAAAAACCGTGTGAAGAGCTTACAGGGGAAATATGCCTGAAAGCAGGCTGAATCTATGAAAGTAAGTGAAAGAAGTAGCAGAGCAGCAGGGAGAAAACGTAATCCCACATCATATAGTAAGGTATGACCAATTTGCTGCATGCTGCCGCGGCGCTCCAGTAATGCGCCCAATAAGCGACCTCGCACGGCTTACCCCGACCGTCACGACGCCGAGACTACACGGGCGCGTTCTTTCTGCGCTCAGCTTATCCTGTGCGGCATTCATTAATGCACGCGCTCATAGCGCAGCTTCAGCCGAGTGGAAGGAAAGGCCCAGCGCCGTAACATTTACCGCATACCTCGGGCGAGCGCGCTACGCTAGCTCAATGAAATATTCGCGGCGCAGCTAGCAGGAAGATGAAACACCCGCGCCAACTTCGCGGCGGCTCAAGAAGACGGAAAGGAAGGCGTCCGAATGACATAGTGACCTTAGGTCGCATACGAATGGGCCTGCATTAACAATATCGGGGGGGGGGGGGGGGACCTGCAAAGGCCACGTGATCATGCATATGTACCTGCCTCGTCCGGGCTCGAAGTATTAGAATAGCGCACTGCGAGCACTTGCGGTGCGGTCGCTGCTACTGCGCAGGGAGTTTTAGAATAGCCCACTGCGAGCCCTTGCGGTGAAGTCCCTGCCACTGCGCATGCGTCGTAACGCGAGTCGGCGTTCGCGGACCGCACGCAAAAAATCTGAAATTGCGTGCGGCGATCGCGGCCCGCATTGGGCTCCGCGTGCATACCGCCGCCATACATGTGGTCTTAGTAGAGTACAATGCGCATGTTCACGTCTACCGCTACCAATCGCAAAGCGGAGTCTGCGTTTAATGCCGCAAGTAGTCAAATAAAAAAAAAGTCGTTCTTTCATATCGCCGGGCTCCCGCGCGTTTGAAATTAGCTGGCCGTGGGGTTGAAACACCTGTTTTATGTACCGTTCAACGGGAGTGGTGGTGGTATAGTGGTTAGAAGAGGAAAAAGGCACCAAATTTTTGCAGCCCGGTCGGGAGCACGGCGCCGTGCCTGGGGAGTACAAAGGCTGAAGTCACAGCCTCGGCAGCGCATTTTCAGGGACAGCTCAGATGATATTATGGCGGCACCCTGAGGGCCTTCTGTGAAAACGTGTTGACAGCATTCCTTAGGAGTACAGTGTACTAGAATGGCAGCAGGAGCGTCTTTGGCCGAATATCCTTTGGGCAGTGGCGGATCCAGAAGGGTGGAGGGGGGGGGGGGTAGTAGGGGCGATTAACCTGACGCATAGTCTGTGTCAGCACGCCGCCCCTACCATTAGTTAAATGCTTGTAGTCCACCTGCTACTGAGTATTAGGACAAATGAGTGAAACCGCTGTGAGCACAAATTAACAGTATTTGTGTCATAAGGGGTTTTGCTCGTATAATAAAAACAAGTCATGACCACGCCCCCCTTTCCAGTGTCAAAGCGACCGGCACCTACCCCTAAAATGAGTGGCTGGATCCGCCCCTGTTGAGCAGTGGCTAATAATTCCCACAAAATGCAGGCAGTGAGTGAGGTCAGTCTTTTCGGTCCCGTGCCACAGTCCAGTAATGCGTGTGTATCTTCACTTCTGTGACGAAGTATATATATATTTCATGCGAGTGGATACCGTGCAAGTAAGGGATAAGTTGTGCCGATTTCTCTCAGCGAAACAGTGATATGGGAGTCCGAAAATGCAAACATGGGACATCTCTGAACTAGCGTTGTGCAGCGGGCGCCCGCACTGCCTATGATCTTTATGGTCGAGCGTGGTGGTTTCGGATGTGCGTGGCCAGATAGGTGGCACACCCAACGACGTCCAAAAATGGAAACACACAGACACAAAAGAAGTTGAAGAGAAAGAAAGGAACCAAATGAGGCGATCTCAAGAGCGACCCCACACAGAGCGTGCTGTCAGTGGCACGCGTGCACGATTAGATAGCGCCGCGCTTCAATTGTGGCGCGTGCGGTTGCGTACCACCCGCGTAACAACCAAAGTAGCGCAGCCGTCAAAACAAAACAAAAAAAAAAAACGCGCCTGGCCGTTGGTTGCGGCAGGCAACGGCTAGGCGCAGAGATCATGACCAACTTAAAGCTACGCACGCGCGCTTGAAAGAAAGAAAAACGTGTCTTTCGAAACTCGCCGCCGTTAGTGCATGGGTGCGAGCAGAAGCGTGCGAACTGTCTGGGCGGTGGTGTTTGTTGCAGGCATAAGAAAAACGTGAGCGTCGCAGGTATACGGGGGACTGTGCGCGAATGCAGATTCGCAGGCCTGCAAAGCGCTCGCGTGGGTTCGCCACCCATTCGCGCAAGCTACGCCGGTAAGAAGGACAACCGAGAGGCGTTCTTCTCGGCGCTGCAGCAGTGTTTGACCCCGCTTCTTTCCGTTTGCGAAAGGCGTCGTGCATCACCAGCGGCCCGCCGGGTTCGACATTCCGCACCGGCCCACACGTTCGTAGTCGAAAAAAGAAAGCACACGCCTATGCTGACGTCTTTTCGCCTTCGCGAACACAATCTGTCGGGACGAATTTGCGGGGCGCTGAAGCACGTGTCGCATGCAGGACCTCGCTGCTACGGCAAAGAATGAACCACTACGTCGTCTCGATCATCAAAGAGAGGAACGCGGCCTTGGTATCCGCAAAATGAAACGCGCGGTTTCGAAGAGCTCCTCCCAACGCGACATAATGGACCAACGGGGAGCTGATGGCGGGGGGAGGTCAGCGGGCTCTTTTGTCGCCGTCGTCGACAGCGCGTTGTTGAGCTAGCGTTTTTCGTTTCTTTACGTTTACCCCTTTCTCCTTTTGTGTCCTAGACAGACACAAAAAAGCACATCCCTCCCACCACTCTGGAGTACGGTAAGTAGTGGGAAAAACGGCGGAGGGAGGACCGCAGCGCAATGTAAGAAGAGAAATAAAACAGGCAAAAAGGAACCAGCGGGACCGGAAATACCAGGCAGGCTCGTGAAGCGTACAGCTAGCCCGAGTCGCGGATACCCTGGTGCAGATCGGTACATATCACACACGCTGCAGGGAAACGCGATGGCGTACGCACACACAATTCCGATAAGCCACACACGCAGTTCTAGCGACGAATAAACAAATGAAAGTAGCGAAGCCCGAAAGGTGAGGGGCAACCTAGCGAGCGGGCGCGGCGAGTAAGTTGAAGTGACTCACGTTCGCCAGCGGTGCGGCGCTTTCGCCGCGGGGCAAGAAAGAACAGCACGCGCGTTGAGAGCTGTGAAAGCTTGTCCTGACATGCGCTCTATCACTTCATCGCAAGCCATCGCGCGGGGATGCGAAAGAAACAACTCACCGTGTCGATTCCTCCCGGGCAGTCGCCGCCAGTTGATCGAGAAAAGGATACTGCAAAAATTGAGACGATGCTGAGCGCACCACGGCACCGCTAAGCACAACGAGGATCACGGAGCCTTTGTTGACGCGTCGTCGTCGCGGCTCGAGCACCGGGAGAACACATGCGCGCTCACGACGCTTCACTTTCCGAGGGAAGAAAATTGGCGAGAACCAACGCGAGATCACCACAAACTTCTCGAGTCAACGCGGTCGAACACTTAGAACTGAAGCTAGCACAACCGCACTCGGTAGACACCGACGATACCCAAGGCTGAGACGTCGTCGTCCGCGGCCGTTCATCGCACGAACGAGGCAGAATCCACGTTTCCGCCGACGATGCGGTGACACTGGCGGGTCCATCTGTGGGTCGCCATCGCGGACGAGCGCGCTGGCGTGTGTTGCTGTTATGTCGCTATTTTGATTGTTCACTCTCTCGCCCTTCCTTCGCCTGCTTTCATTTTAGAATGTTTTCATTGCGCCGGCTCTCTCCACAACTCGGCTGCTGGCTTTAATGCACTTGCTTCAATGAGTTGCGACCGCAGCGGCACTTACCGGCGGTCACATGAAACTGTCTCTCTCTCTCGCTCGTTTTTCCGGGGTCGGCCCGGTTTGTTTTGCGCCAGTGCCTGCGATCAGCGAAGTGCATCAATACTAACTTGTGCTGAAATCAATTCGTGTACTACCGGCCTTAGTTAACACGTCACTGAGTGCAAACACGTTCTCACCACGCAACGAGCACCGCCTGCAGTGATAGTGCTTTTCGCTTGTACGAATGACGAAGGGATCTTTTCAGCTACAGCATGCGTTTTTAACGGTGGTGGCGCCATCGTGGAGTATTGGACACATACACTCGCTTGTCGAAAGCTGGCGTCTTAATCGCGGGAAGCTCAAAAGTAGCGTGCGCCAGTCATTCATTCGAGATAGAGCGAGAGGCATCACGGCTGTGCTTAGGCCTTCCAAATATGTAGCAAATGCAGTATTATACCTGAAAGCGAGAACACTACCCCTGTTAAGCCGATTCAACCTAATTACGGTGCAGACTTTTTCACGGTTGTACGAAGACGGAAACAAAAACTTAAAACATTATTTCGTATAATCCAAGGGATATTCAAAATACCTAAAGACGAGTACATACGCCTTCCTGGAAAACGTAGCACTAGATTGAATAATGATGCCCCCATTGAACCTTTTATCACTCGCAGTGACATCTTTCGGTGGTCATTTTTCCCGGACGCTATAGAACAATGGAATTCTTTACCCCAACATGTTATTAATAGTACCGATGTGCATACTCAAATAATCTTCATCTCCAATCCCGATTTTATTTTTTTTTCGATCACTGGCCTAGATTCCGCAAGCCACAAATCATAGTTATAAAAACATTACTCGACGACCTAAATGTACAAAATCGCCCCGCCGCGGTGGTCTAGTGGCTAAGGTACTCGGCTGCTGACCCGCAGGTCGTGGGATCGAATCCCGGCTGCGGCGGCAGCCTTTCCGGTGGAGGCGGAAATGTTGTAGGCCCGTGTGCTAAGATTTGGGTGCACGATAAAAAACCCCAGGTAGTTAAAATTTCCGAAGCCCTCATCTATGGCATCTCTAATAATGATATGGTGGTTTTGGGACATTAAACCCCACATATCAATCAATTAAATGCATAAATTCGTGATGTGCGTCCTGTGACTACGCAACCTAAATTCACAGACATTGTCTACCACGATATTTTTTTTCTAATCAGGCGAAATTATTACCTCACGGAATTATAAATGGTCTGTTGCAAGGGCATCTAAATAATCTGCCAACGAATGTGGTTATTCCAACAGATACATCACAAACTGAGTAAAAAGCTGCCACAATAATATTCTGCCCTCAATTTGAGTGGTCTTTTTCTTTACGACTGGCAGATTTTATCCCAGTTTTTATAGCTGAATTTATGGCCATAATATAAGCTTTCGGAAAGTTACACAGTTTAAATGCAGTAGTAGTGATTATCACGGAATCATTATCTGCGTGTTCGTCTCTCTTCGCATCTGGTGAAGCGGCTTCACTAAAGCTTTTCATAATACTAGTTCCCACGCACCTTCAATCTCTCCACTTAATTCGAGTACCAAAACACAAGGATTTAGTTTTAAACGAAAGCGCTGATTTTTTAGCAAAGGCCACGCTTTTGGTGCCAATCATTCCGTTTTCTCTACTGACAGCATACATTACAATTGCACGATTCCGCACGCTAACTGTCAGAAAATGCTTATCAGACCCTGTATTTACAGCTTCTCCAGAATATAAGCACCTATAATTTCCCTGGAGTAGTCGGTTATCGCGGTCGAGTATAATGAAAGTGGCTATAACAAAACTTCGCTGCCGGGTTACCTCCCTCAACTTTTCCTGCCTAGAGCAGGTCAAGCGCTGTCTCCTCAGTGTCTCTTCTGTAAGAAGGACGAAACAATTAGCCATTACTTTCTATTCTGTTGTCGGTACAAGTCATTGAAGTCATTGAGGAGAAGATTCATAGCACCACCTCTTCGAAACTTGGGTCTGGAAGTATCCCAATCAGTCGTTCTATCGTTTGGCGCCTCTACTCTGGGATACAGTCACATGGATGTTTACTACGCCATAGATGAATTTATCAGTCAGACTAAAATATTATTGAGTTAAATTCTTCATCCTTTTAAACATTTAAATACTAATATTCAGTAATTAAACTAAATTTGCTGTATTAACTATCTCTAGCTTATACGAGAAATATTGCGAGCGAACACTTGTAAAATTCACCTAACACTCGGCCTATCCCCTGCATCTGGTAAAAGCCACGAGAAGAGAAGAAGAAAAAGACGCTTTTATGGCGGCGAAACTCATATTGCGGCGTACGAAATGATTTACCTAGATACAACTCCGGTGTCATCGTTCAAGACATATGCCGTTATTAATTTATGTCGAGGATATCCGAAGTGAAGGCTGCATGATCGAATGATGCCAATAAACAAAAAATATTGACTGGTGGTGACGAGCCTGAAGCGAAAGCAAAGCTGGCTGGCCAGTTTGTTTGTCTTTACCCTTTTTCTATCTGCCTTGCGCTTTGCCACTGTTTCATGTATATTTCCTGTATCTGGCCTTTATTTTTGCTCTCTTTCTTTCACATGCTATTTCTTTTTTTGTTGCTCTTTATATCTTTCTTTTCATTTCTTCTATTTTTTCTATATTGTTTTTCTTTCTTAAGTTTTTTAGAAGTTTGTGTCTCTTCTTCTGTCTTACTCTGTTCTTTTAATCAGTTCTTTATGTATATTTCTTTTGATATTTCTTTTTCCACGTCTTTTTCTGTCTTTATTTTTTATGTGTTCATCACCTTCATTTCTATTTTTCTTTATTTCTGCTGCCTTCTTTCTTCTTTCCTGCCCCCCCCCCCCCTTTTTTAAAAAAATGTATCTCCTTCTTTTTCACGTGTTTCACGTGCTCCACTTCACCGAGCACAGTTTTGTTTATGCTTTTGCCCTAATTAGATGTGCAGCTCGGCAAATTCCTGATGTGCATACCCACATGTGGAGGTCTGCACGACGCACCATTGTTTCCTATGTTGCACTACTCACAAAGTTTATAATTGCATTATGGTAGTAAAAAATGGATATATATATATATATATATATATATATATATATATATATATATATATATAAAAATAAGGGAAGAAGTGTATACCTAAGGGCTCGTTTTCCGTGTTTTTAACACAATAATAATGAGATATAACAGACAGTAATGTCAAGGAATGTACAGGGGAAGTTATTAACATTAATGGAATGTAAATAAGAAGAAAGAAAAGTGGATGAAAAAATTACCAACTGTAAGCAGGATACAATATATATATATATTATATATATATATATATATTTATAGATATCTTAAAATCGAGGTGTTGTACGTCGATGAAGGTTCAGAAGCAGCTTGGCAAAATGTTCTTTATCCGGCAGGTCTGGCTAATGGCGAGCGGCGTGCGCGAGCTACTACTATAGCCACCGATCATCATCGTCTTCTTCATTACCAGCAGAGCGTCCGTTATTCAGATTCATTACATTTACTGCCCGCGAAATAAGGAGCCGTCCTGGCGACCTATGGACAAGTAAACACGGGAGGGTCGTAGCAGGGCTTAAGTCTCGAGACGTGGACAATTTCCTGGCCACGACGACGTTATTCAGAAGATTGTTCCAGTGGCTCAATGAGGTAATTCACTGGTGACGTTTTTTGTAGCACACGATATGGGCCGTAATACTTGGGGACCAACTTGGTAGAAAGGCCAGGTGTAGCAGAAGGGACATCCAGCCAGACGAGTGAACCTGGATCGTAGGAAGTAATGTTATTTGATGCGTCATGGTGGTGCTTTTGGCGTCATTGGTCATGGGTTGTGAATTATCTTGCCAGTTGGCGGCATTCTTCAGCATATGTAGCGGCTTGAGACAGAGTCGTGGACCCTGTGGAGTCAGGTTTGTACGAAATAATGGTGTCCATAGTGCAAGAAGGTTCACGCTCGTAAAGGAGGAAAAAAAAAGAGATAACCCAGTAGTGCTGTGAATGGCGGTATTATAGGTGAACGTGATAAACGGGAGCACTCGGTCCCAATTGGAGTGGTCTGACAAGATGTACATAGACAGCTTGTCACCAAGGGTGCGGTTGAAGCGCTCTGTCATTCCATTGGTCTGGATATGACAGGCGCTTGTAGGGCGGTAAACGACGTGGCACACACGCAGCAATGCCATGATGACGTCTGACAAGAATACGCGACCACGATCACTCAGTAACGCTGGAAGTGCTTCATGTCGTAATATAATGTTGTGATCGAAGAACGAAAGTCGCAACGTCTTTTGCTGTAGACGAGAGAAGGGATGAAGTTTCGGCATACCGCGTGAGATGGTCGACGGCAACTATGATCCAGTGGTTACTGTCTGTAGTGTTCGCAAGGGAACCATAGATATCGATGCTGACGCGGTCGAATGGTCGGGATGGCATGGTAAAGGTAATAAGATACCGCTGGCGTGATAAGGGGGAGTTTTTCGTCTCTGGCACGTCGAGCAGGCCCGAGCGTACTGTCGTATAAAACGGTACATGTCACGCCAGTAATATTGGAGCCGTATGCGAGAATAAGTCTTCAGGAAACCTGCGTGGCCACATTGGGGGTCGTCATGAAACTTGGGACAAATTTCGGGTCGCAGATGACGTGGAATCACGAGTAGCCACTGACGTCCACCGGGTGTGTAGTTGCGTCGATACAGCACGTCGTCGCGAGTGGAGAAGTGCTCGACTTGCCGACGCAACGTGCGAGAAGGGGGGGCAAACCGTCCGCCCAGCCAGGATGTCTAGAATCGAAGCAACCCAAGGGTCCTTGCGTTGCTCAGAAGGCCATGCGTATATTGGGAAAAACCTAACCGTCAAGCGCGCCTCTCTTCTGCGCGAAAGTCATCGCTTCAGCATATGACCCGAGACGTTGCTCAACCACCTGATGCTCTTC